GCCCTCCGGACATTGGTTAGGCGAGGGACGATAACCTGTAGACACACTCTAGAGTTAAATAACAATATCAGAAAGACTATAATTAAGGGTTAAAAGAGGCAGAGCAGGTGGTACATGCTGTGGGGTGGTCAGAGAACATGAAGTCAGAGAGCATGGTGGAGCTGAGGTGGGCCTTGAAGAAAGGGTGGGATTTGCATACACAGTGTAAGGGGAAAGGGTGTGAGCAAAATCTTATGAATGAAAGTGACATGTTGGGGAAAAAATGATGAGATTGCCTTACTAGAATAGCAAGTCATAATTTACACAGCTAGGCTACAGCACAGGCAGAAGTACATGGGCTTTTGAATCAGATTGCTTGAGTTTAAATACTGGTGTCTCTACTTGAAACCTATGTGACCTTGGACAAGATACTTAAATTCTTTATACTTCAGTCTTAATTTCCAGAAAAGGGAGCCAATAATAGTTCTTACCTCTTGCGGGCGTCATTGTGAGAATGAGATGAGATGATATTAAGCACTTAGCACAACGCCTGGTGTGTGATCACACTCGAAGAATGATGCTACTATTATTGCAGTCAGATTATACTCCCAAATGTCTGGCTAAGGTGATTTCATTTCTGTAGCTGTTGGAAGCCACTGAAAGATTTTACCTAGACGAGGAAAAGGATTAGAGTGATATTTAGGAAGATTCATATGGCAGCCATAAGGAGCTTGCTTATTAGTAAAATGAGAAGGGTACTGGGAGAATTAATAGAAGTAAGGAAATTGAGGGAAGGTAGCATATTTGGGAAGAAAAAGATGAGTTATACCTTGTAGATTATTTTATATGTAATTGTCCACTTGTATTGAATATTTTCTAGGGGCATTATTTCTGTCAATACCTTCGATTTTGTGATTTTATATATATATATATGCAAAAAGAAAATAGCGAAGAATTTAATTGATCCCTTCATGATTAGTTGTTGTAGGTGAAATTCACATTATATAATTTAAAATCCTTTTTTTTTTTAACATCTTTATTGGAGTATAATTGCTTTACAATCGTGTGTTAGTTTCTGCTTTATAACAAAGTGAATCAGTCATACATATACATATGTTCCCATATCTCTTCCCTCTTGTGTCTCCCTCCCTCCCACCCTCCCTATCCCACCCCTCTAGGTGGTCACAAAGCACCGAGCTGATCTTCCTGTGCTGTGCGGCTGCTTCCCACTAGCTATCTATTTTACGTTTGGTAGTGTATATATGTCCATGCCACTCTCTCACTTTGTCACAACTTACCCTTCCCCCTCCCCATATCCTCAAGTCCATTCTCTAGTAGGTCTGTGTCTTTATTCCTGTCTTACCCCTAGGTTCTTCATGACATTTTTTTTTTTTAAATTCCATATATATGTGTTAGCATACGGTATTTGTTTTTCTCTTTCTGACTTACTTCACTCTGTATGACAGACTCTAGGTCCATCCACCTCACTACAAATAACTCAGTTTCGTTTCTTTTTATGGCTGAGTAATATTCCATTGTATATATGTGCCACATCTTCTTTATCCATTCATCCGATGATGGGCACTTAGGTTGCTTCCATGTCCTGGCTGTTGTAAATAGAGCTGCAATGAACATTTTTGGTACATGCCTGTTTTTGAATTATGGTCTTCTCAGGGTATATGCCCAGTAGTGGGATTGCTGGGTCATATGGTAGTTCTATTTGTAGCTTTTTAAGGAACCTCCATACTGTTCTCCATAGTGGCTGTATCAATTTACATTCCCACCAACAGTGCAAGAGGGGTCCCTTTTCTCCACAGCCTCTCCAGCATTTATTGTTTGTAGATTTTTTTCTTTGCGGTACGTGGGCCTCTCACTGTTGTGGCCTCTCCCGTTGCGGAGCACAGGCTCCAGACACGCAGGCTCAGCGGCCATGGTTCACGGGCCCAGCTGCTCCGCAGCATGTGGGATCCTCCCGGACCGGGGCACAAACCCGCATCCCCTGCATCGGCAGGCAGACTCTCAACCACTGCGCCACCAGGGAGGCCCATGTTTCTAGATATTTTGATGATGGCCATTCTGACTGGTGTGAGATGATATCTTGTTGTAGTTTTGATTTGCATTTCTCTAATGATTAATGATGTTGATCATTCTTTCATGTGTTTGTTGCCAATCTGTATATCTTCTTTGGAGAAATGTCTGTTTAGGTCTTTTGCCCATTTTTGGATTGGGATGTTTGTTGTTTTGTTATTGAGCTGCATGAGCTGCTTGTAAATTTTGGAGATTAATCCTTTGTCAGTTGCTTCATTTGCAAATATTTTCTCCCATTCTGAGGGTTGTCTTTTGGTCTTGTTTATGGTTTCCTTTGCTGTGCAAAAGCTTTTAAGTTTCATTTGGTCCCGTTTGTTTACTTTTGTTTTTATTTCCATTTCTCTAGGAGGTGGGTCAAAACGGATCTTGCTGTGATTTATGTCATAGAGTGTTCTGCCTATGTTTTCCTCTAAGAGTTTGATAGTGTCTGGCCTTACATTTAGGTCTTTAATCCATTTTGAGCTTATTTTCGTGTATGGTGTTAGGGAGTGTTCTAGTCTCATACTTTTACATGTACCTGTCCAGTTTTCCCAGCACCACTTATTGAAGAGGCTGTCTTTTCTCCACTGTATATTCTTGCCTCCTTTATCAAAGATAAGGTGACCGTATGTGCATGGGTTTATCTCTGGGCTTTCTATCATGTTCCATTGATCTATATTTCTGTTTTTGGGCCAGTACCATACTGTCTTGATTACTGTAGCTTTGTAGTATAGTCTGAAGTCAGGGAGCCTGATTCCTCCAGCTCCATTTTTCGTTCTCAAGATTGCTTTGGCTCTTCGGGGTCTTTTGTGTTTCCATACAAATTGTGAAATTTTTTGTTCTAGTTCTGTGTAAAATCCATTTTTGAAGAATGACCCATGGTATTTAGAAAACACAATCCAGGAACAAATTTTGCTGTAACTTTTCTGAAAGTTTGGGGCTTATGGTGTTGAGTTTCATTGGTTTTGTTACCAAATGCAAGTCCCTGTGTCTGACATGCAGTGAGGCCAAACAATACCAAAACATTGGAATTTGGAGCACAGAAAGGCTTATTGCAGGGCCATGCAAGGAGATGGGTGGCTCATACCTTAAAAACCCTGAACTCCCTGAAAGCTTTCAGCAAAGCCCTTTTATAGGAAAAGTGAGGGAGGATCATGGTTAGTTGTTGCAAACGTCTTGGTGTCAGATTCTTTGTTCTTGAGGTCAGGTCGTGGTCAGGTCACGATGTTCCTGTAAACCTCCACCAAAATAAACGTTATTCTGTTTTCTGACAAGAAAGGGCAAGGTCCCAAGGCTCTACTTTCATCCTCTGAGGTCCAGGTCTGGCCAAGAGGAGGGGTCCCTGCATAAGCTGGTTACCCTGCCGGGGAGTGTTTGTCCAGCACCCAGTCTGAGTCGTCCCACCAGTGCCCAGCCCCAGCTGAGGAGGCAGATCTCAGCTGGCAGATCCCTTAGGGCCAGGTCCCCAGACCCTGCCCAGCCATCATCACTGAGGAAGCCAGGTGCCCAGGACCCAACTGGCCCTCTGACTCCTCAGGGCACCCAAACAGTGGTTGGCACCCATGGAGATGTCACTGCCCTTTGGTCGAGGAGGTGGGGATAGGGAAGAGATTCGTTGCTGCTTCCCGGCCTGGGCCTGGCCAGTGGGCGGCTTTGGCGAGTGCTCTGGAGCTCTGCGGGACACAGCCCTCAGCCTGTCCCTGGGCCTTCCAGCTCACCCGCCAGGCCCGAAGCCAGAGGACCTGGAGGGCCTGAGGGAGAAGGATGCGATCCACCTCTCACCGCACCCTCTGCCATGAGGACCACTGCGAGGCTGACTGTTGGCAGAGTGGGACCTCTAACTGCCAAGCCAACGGTCATGCTAAAGGCCGCGTGCCCGCCCCACTTTCCATCTCCCTCATGTCCATCTGTTTAGTTTGGGTCCTTACAGTCTTAGGGGAATTAGACCTACCATTTCCTAGTGATGAAGATAAGAAGACTATAATACTATAAACTAGTCTTCTGTTTCCAGATCAATGATGGGATTGCAAGGATTGGTGCTTCATGGTAATGTAGCTGTGAAATGTCAAAACACAAACTACGCAACATAAAATGTAACATTTGTTTAATTCAGACTGAACAAGAGCATAAACCACTTCCATTTCTTGCTCTAATGATGAGAGGTTTATGGGGCTGAGGACTTCCTACCCCAGAAACTCCTCTATACTACTGAAAATTTGACTATTAGAGATAAATTTCATTGGATCTTTGAGGTTTGTAGACTTTTGAAGTGTTCAAGGGTCCTCCATTAATAGAGATACATATCAGTGTTCTCTTAGAGGGAATTAGTTGACAGTTCAGAACTCTGAAGGTACGGAGCAGACATTCATGGACATGTGGGAGTAGGGTTGTGGTTAGGGAAGAGTGGAAGTAAGGAGGGGAGTGGAAAGTGGAACCATAAACAAACTTTTAATAATCCACAATAACCCAAGGCAGGCACTGTTCTCTTCTGTTATTTATAAAGACTGTAGCATTATCTATTACTGTACAAAGGATTGTTTTTTTAAAAGTTTTTTTCCCCTTATATTGATGGGAGGTATATTATAGATCTGGTATATTTTTCTGGGATTCTTCAACATGTTGTTAAGAAAATCTGTCCTAGTCTCAGACCAGTCTCTCAGCTTTTGTTTGGAAAATATGGAAACCATACTTTAAAAAAAAATTGAGGTGACTGATCAACAAAAGTGTGGAATATTTTAAAAAACTGAGGCATCTTATCAACAAAAGTTTGAAATTAAAAGTGTTGATACTTAATTCCTCATTTATTTTACTGAAAATGGAAACATTTATACTTTAAAAAATTAATCTTTTCCTTAATATTTCCGTACCATTTTAACAATATGAGATGGGAAATTAAACGTCTCAGTGTGGCCATAAAATTTGCTCAGGAAACTAAGAAAAATCACAAATATTATTTAAATCAGAGATTTACTGAAACACTAAATGAAGATTCTGTTCTACAGATTGTTTAATGATTAGTAATCGAACACATTGAAAAGGACAAAGCACTTAAACATGAAGCAGTGATCGTATACAGTCTTTCCCCATTACTTTTAGTGAGTATGGAGCCGTTTTAGCTGAATAGAAATAACTGTTTGATCCAGACTTTGTTGGAAAGTTTCCTTAAAGAACGTGGCAAAAAATTTACAAAGGATGCCAAAGAACCATTTTTGTCCTTACATGAGTTCTTGCAATAGATTTCTTGTGTAGTCTTCATAATGGACTGAGTTATATTTGCATATGGATATGTCTAGTATCCTCTGGCTCCTTCTCCTTCACTCTTCTTCCCCTTTAGTTTTTGGTGCTTGACTTTCTTAGCTGGAGGATGATGGAACACCTGATTCAGGTACTTGGCGATCATTGATGTTGTGGCCACCGGTCTGCAGAGTATTTGGTCAACGTCATAGATGGGCTGGCTTTCTAGATCATTACCAGCTGTATCTAAGGAGGCTTGTTTCTTCAGCTGAAAGGAGAAAAAAACATTAGAGATTTTTTTATTACTGTAGTTCAAATTAAATTTGTTTTCTGGATATCTACACTTAAACTCCAAATACCATATGTTAGTTATTTATGCAAAGAAAACGTTACTGTAGATGAAAGGTATAAATGCAGAAGAAATGCTCTTTTTTATATGCCCTTGTGTAAGGTTATAGCGATCATTATCACCATCGGCAAACATTTAATAAGTACTTTCTGTGATTAGAGCATTCTGCTGGGAGGAATTATTTGAATATTAGTAAAATATTTTCCTTTACTAAACAACCTTAAGGTATAATGTGATAAAGTCATAGTCATTTTATAAATATCTAATTGTTGTGAAGGTCAATGAGCTTTTAAGATTGCCTCAAAATATGGTGTCACTGGCGAAGTGGGAAATTAGTTTAAGAGTGCTATTTTCCAGAAAGTTATACTAAAATTAGAAATTAGTTTACAGTCCATTAAAAAAATACATGCCGACTTTTGTATACTTAGCTTTCTTAGACAGATCGGGAAGGGATCTAACAAAATGTCGTTCCATATCCTTAATTTTATGGTTCAGGCAGCTGAGAAAGATACAATGACTTACCTAAGGGCCCAGACAGATACCTTCACTTCCTATGCATTCTATTCACTGTAGCTCACTACTTTCTTGGTGTGTTTCGTAACTTGAAATAATCTATCTAAAATTAATAGGTTATTTTAAGGACCTTCTAATTGAGTACACCTTTGCTGAACACCCGACATGCAAGAAACTGCTACATGCTGGGGATGAATGGTGGAAATTGGGGAGGTTATGAAGAAAAATAAGACATGGTTCTTTCTCTCAAAGAAGATGATAATCTTATCTTTTAAACTCTTTGATATTCTATAACTATGATTATTTGCATCACTAATTCACCTTTTTTTTGTGTTTCTTCCATTTCACCCACAGGTAATGAGCAGATAAAACAGACAGGATTAAAAAGAGAGCTTGTACTACAATATAAATAAGATGTAAACAACACTGAAATATATCCATACTAGCAAAATTGCAGCATAGTTTGTTCAGAGGGTAAGGTAGACAGTGAGATGGAGAAGGCTTAACTTTCAAATGATGCGTTTCTTCTGGAAAAATCTCCCATCCAACCTTTGTCCAGGTAGTACCATCACAAATGCAGAAGCTCTCCCTGAAGAAGCAGATAAACAACAGAGGAAAAATCAGGGATAGTCCTTGAGAAGGCATCTTTCTTTCTCAAATGGAAAAAGCATTTATAGTAAAAAATTGGTTACAGACAGAGCAGAAAGCCCCTGAGTATTAGTTAACATGGTGTGCCAGTCAAAGCACTGAAGATACTTTTACTAGTCAGCAAAATATACACTGATGATCACTGTAACATCATCAGTCATAGTGATTCAGGGCTAAATTCAATGATGTCATAGAGAACCACACTGGACTGAAAAGGTGTTGCCTAGCCAATCACCTTGGATTTCTTAGGAACACTTTTTCTTGTTTTTTTCCAGAATAGTTTGAGCCTCTTCAGTTTTCTGAAAAACAAATACTTTACTAATATTTTGCTAGCTAATAAATTTAAATTGTAATTATCTTAATAGAATTTCATGGAAACAGCTTACCTATATCCTTTCCAAACCTTTTTTTTTTTTTACATCTTTATTGGACTATAATTGCTTTACAATGGTGTGTTAGTTTCTGCTGTATAACAAAGTGAATCAGCTATATGTATACATATATCCTCCCAAATCCCCTCGCTCTGCATCTCCCTCCCACCCTCCCTATCCCACCCCTCTAGGTGGTCACAAAGCATGGAGCTGATCTCCCTGTGCTATGCGGCTGCTTCCCACTAGCTATCTATTTTATATTTGGTAATGTATATATGTCCATGCCACTCTCTCACTTCGTCCCAGCTTACCTTTCCCCTCCCAGTGTCCTCAAGTTCATTTTCTATGTCTGTGTCTTTATTCCTGTCCTGCCCCTAGGTTCTTCAGCACCATTTTTTTTAAGATTCCATATATGTGTGTTAGCGTACAGTATTTGTTTTTCTCTTTCTGACTTACTTCACTCTGTATGATGGACTGTAGGTCCACCTCACTACAAATAACTGAATTTCGTTTCTTTTTATGGCTGAGCAAAATTCCATTGTGTATATGTGCCACATCTTTATCCATTCATCGGATCTTTGTCCATCCATGTTGATGGACACTTAGGTTGCTTCCATGTCCTGGCTATTGTAAATAGCGCTGTAATGAACATTGTGGTGCATGAATCTTTTTGAATTGTGATTTTCTCAGGTTATATGCCCAGTAGTGGGATTGCTGGGTCGTATGGTAGTTCTATTTTTAGATTTTTACGGAACCTCCATACTGTTCTCCATAGTGGCTGTATCAATTTACATTCCCACCAACAGTGCAAGAGGGTTCCCTTTTCCACAGCCT